TTACGTTACACATTCAAATTCATTTCAAACTGCAAACGCAAAAACAATAAAATAACTCACATCTATTACTCTCGAAATACCTGAATCACGTACAGGTGCATGTGCATAAATTTATTCCCGGTACGTCCTGCAAGCCAGGTAAATAAAGTCCGAGCATGCATAAGTCATAATCGCATTTGCCTGGAAGCTAATAATTTATTACGAAAACATTTTTATGCAAACATTTTACATAAGAATCTATGAAAACAAGCAAAAACATGACTCGCTGAAAAAAATTAGAGAAAGAGAAGAGAAAACCCATATGAAAGTTAGGTCAAAATGTATATTTGTTGAAAATCCATAAAAAATGCTATGCAAAGCAAATACCAAGTCAGATTTGCATCAGCTGACAGCTCCATTTCCAGGGTATTTAAATGGCTGGTGTACCAAAGCCCAAAACTAGAAGTATAAAACAATGTAAAACCAACAAAGCCAAACACACAAAATTTTGATTTTGATTTTGATTTGCAGTTTCGCATAACTAAAATAGTTTGTCGACTCCGTCTACAATGTAGACCACAAATAGAATAAAGCAACGTTCGCTCCACAAATAGACTTTGATTTGGTTTTCCCTTTTTGTTAGCAACCAAAACTTTTACCTTGAGAAGAGGTGAGCCAAGGTAACTTCTTCAAATGGAAAACGAAAAGAGCCAAAATTGATCAAAAAATGAATAAATAATTAAGCGTAAACGGATGCTTTCAGCCTTAAGCAATTTAGAATATTTATAACCTTCAGATTTTTACAATTTTGCAACTCGGATTTAAAGCTTTTCAAATTGATTGCAGAGCCTCAAAGAACTTTTGGCAGCGAGTGCAATTCGCTTTAGCCAAGTACTCAAAGAGCTAACCAACGAACTGTTCGAGGTTACTGTTTGGGAAGCCACATTTACTGGCCATTTTTTATGGGCTGAGCAGGCGGAGGAGCGCGGCGCTGTGAGTAAACGCAGGAATCAGGGATGGGTCGAATCATAAAAATAAATGAAAAAGGTCACTTTGTATTGGTTGTGAGACAATTTAACACAGGCAAATGTGTGTGCAACTGTAATTTGTGTGCCGTAGCTGCCAGCAGCAACTCCCACGGCACCACCGCACCACCGCACCACCCGACAGACCACAACGGGCACCACACACAATGTACATATGTGGCACATAGTAAATAGTTTGTGCTTGGAGTCAGGAGGCGGGTAAATTGTTGGGGTGGCAGCACTCGGCGCTTGTAGTTGTTGGCTTTTCATTTGTTGTCCACACGTACACACAAATACACACAGACAGCCACTCGTAGCTGAGCATACACAAACACGAACACCAACACTCATAGATTTAATCCTCAACAAAGCCCACACACATGTGGCCAAATGAACATGTTAAGTTTTCAACAGCTATAAATTATTTCTTTAACAGCCTCTGCTCTTTTTTCCTATATGTTAAACGATCCTAAATGAATATAATTTATTGTGGTCATTAGGACTGGCAATGGCTAGCCCCACTTGATGCCAGCAGCCTAATTTAAATGCAATCCAGGCCGGAACACACATACACACACCCTCATAAGTCTTATGCTAATACAAACGCTTCCAAAATAAATCAAACAACTTTTTTCCTGTTGAGAGCTCCCAGCTAAAGCCAAAATTTAAATTGTCGAAACACATATTCGTAGTTATTTGTATGCACGCATGCCTCGGAGTTTGACTTCAAAAATACTTCGCTTCCCAAGAAAAATATTTTAAATTAGATCTGACTACAATGCATAACTTAGGCTTTATGTGCGAGAAGCAAGATCTAAGATCTACAGCTATTACCTTTCAGCTCCTCCTACTTCGCTTGATTGCATATTGCTCCATTTACAAATAAGTAATCCCAACCACGGAAACCCTCCATGAAACTTTACAAACTGAAGTTGAGCGCGTTGCCGTCGCCAGAACAAGCATGGCCGGCGGTGGTTGAAAAAGAGTCGCGTTTTCAGCGATAAATTGGAAGGTGCTCACATTCAAGCACCGAGCCAGGTATGGCTGTCTCCGCCTCTCGGCACATGGAGTGGATAGGATTCTGGTCGCTCAACCAGTCATTTCCTTTCACTGTCTAATAACCTCCAATCGTCTAGTCTTGTCTATGTTGCCCCGTTCTGGAAACTGTTTATGGCAGCATTGATGTCTTAAATGCTTTTCTGTCCAATAGCATCATATTTGTGGTCGGTCACATTGAAGTTGGCTTTACAGTCGAACCTTTTGACATTGAGACACGCATAACGTGTAGAACTTAAAAAAACACAAAATTTCATATAAGAACGGATAAAAAACTTTAAAAATATAAAGTTAAAAAATTGTTTGATTCGTTTTCTCTACTAATATCAATTTAAGGGCTAGACTAGATTAGCTAAATTCGGTTATTGCTACTAAACATGATGTATCATGCTTTCTGTCTATATGATATTGTTAAATGATCTTAAGCCAACCAAAAACTAGTACTGGCAACGAGACACTACTACTTTCATACAGAGTCCTGCTCACCAACATCAATCTACTTCAATAGATTTATTCGTTTGCTCAAATGATAGATCAGCTTACTAACAACGACGGAAAGCAAGAGAAAACTTAACTCTTTACAAATTTCTGCATACAAATTTACGTTGAAATTTTCCATTCTTCAATTTAATGTAAATTCAGAATTCACATATTCCAGTGCTGCACAAATACTCATTAAAATAGAGCTAAGTACATATAAATTTTTTAATACTAATGTTCTTAGCTAAAATCTGATATTTAATACTTTAAAAAATTAAGATAAAATATAAGATAATTTAATATGAATTTGCCTTCAAATTATTTTCAAATTTGTAGGCAAATTTACCTCTAAATAAGCTAAGATTTTTATTTAAGTACATTGCATAAAGTAGGAAATGACTTCAGAGAGACTTATCCTCGGGAATTAGTGTAGGCTTTCAGATAAGAAATATATTTTTATTATATTGACTTCAGAGAGACTTATCCTCGGGAATTAGTGTAGGCTTTCAGATAAGAAATATATTTTTATTATATTAGACTTCAGAGAGACTTATCCTCGGGAATTAGTGTAGGCTTTCAGATAAGAAATATATTTTTATTATATTACGACTCATAAATATTTAACTTCAGTAGGAGCAATATAACAATGCTGCACGTTACAATAATTATTGCATACGCTTCATTATTGAATTTTGTTATCTTTATTGAGACGTAACCCAAGTAACTGTGATTTCCGTATGATGGTAATGTAAATAAAAACATTTCTAAATATAATCTTTAGAATCACGATGATTTAGCAATTTGGCTAAATTATTTTCGACTTAGCAGGGACTATTAATAGGTAATCTAAATTGGTGATGCTCAGCTCTAAATTGTTTTTTCAGCTGTTGTTTGCCAAGTCACACCATTGCTAGTATTAGTTGCTAGTAGACGGCGGCGATGTCATCTTTTTGCTATGGCACAAACTGAAAGCTTCCCATTTCCACGAAAATCCTCCCAGCGGCAAACGAGAACGAGCTCAAAGAGGACGGCAACGACAACGGCAACGGCATCGGCGACGGTTGCAAACAGTTGATTGCCATGGTAAACATCGAACGGGCAATGGCGAGGGGCGCAGTTAGACCATGCCCATGTCGGACAGTGTAAACATACTTAAGAGAAACGAAAACACGAATTATACCGCTTTTAACCTGCCCAGACGAGGGCACAGCCATCATGCAGTCCAAACAAGACAGACAGCTAGCCAGCCAGCCAGCCAGCTAGGCTGGCTTATCGCAATATGCAAATGCGGTCTTCTATGGGCAAATAGACTGGTATCGGGGCCGTCAGGGTACATAGGTAGGCAGCGCCAGGGGCAGAGTAAGGTGAGAAATGAAAGACTTAAAACACAAACTCGAACTTAAACTTGAACTTGGGCGAGCGCATTGCTTTTTACTGGATATTCCCGAAGGCAGCTCCGAAGCCTAATTGCTGTCGGCTACCGGCTATCGAGAGAGCATCCTAGCGCATCCTTTGTGAGCCCGCTGTGTGTCCGTCTGCCTGCGACAGGGACGAGCGCATATGCGTTTCCGTATTCCTAGTTTATGAGTTTACAACCTCAGCCTAATTGAGGCGGGGAAATTCGCTTAGGCTAGCCATAAACTCGAATTGTTTGCAAACACAAGCAGAAAGAATTCATCATAAAAGTGCACAAAACGCTCCTACAATACGGTGTGGTAAATATTTAGGGCAAGGTCGCGGCGAGATAGATTGATATGGAGTTTTCCACGTAAACCCAGCCACGAGACCAATACCCTTTGCTTCCCAAGAACAGGCCGCACTCGCATTTATTAATGAAACTGCGACAGACTACTGTTCTCTTACAACTATACAGGAGCAGTCAAGAAATGAGCTATGGATTAGCTGCACGCACAGTTTGCTTGGAAGTCTTCTTCATATTCATGTCTGCGCGCTTAGATATGAAAGGCTTACAGCACTTTTCCCATTTGATTTCTTTTTATTAAGTTTCATAGTTTGTTGATTCTTCTCATTTACTCACCAACTTTATTGCCGCATTGAGCTGAGTTGTAGGCCTGTAGTCACAGTCGTGGCTCTGTTTGCCTAGCAGCGCCACAGCCTAGCTGACTGATCAACATTTTACCCCAATCCCCCAGCCCAACTGTGGCGGTCCATTGACTCGCGACGGTGGCTTGAGAAAGAGGAATGCACATAAGATCGAAACTTTTGACCAGGCGCGTGATCTTCAAAAAACACGAACAAGTTATAAATAATTATAAACAAAAAATCAACTCAACTCAATTCAGGCAACAACAATCGATAGACACAAACAATGTGTAATATCGGTTTCTTTTCATGACACGAAATGTGGTCAATATACAAGATATATATATATAACATATATATATAGTAAACTACTGAAATTGAAACAAATCTTTCACTTAAACACTAACTTGGGATAGCTGAAACCACAGTCAACTGTTTTGACCACATTCGATTTGAATCGAGTGCGTCTCTGATTCTGATGACCCCAACGAAGTCCGTATCTTTTGACCAAAAATATATATGAACATGTGTACTTATATAAATTGACGTTTGCGGTTAAATGTTTACAACTCGAAATTCAGCTGAAAATTTAACAAAAAAAAAAAATAAAAATGAGGTGTAGAGAAAAATGGAATGAACGGCAAACCAGTTTTCGGTATAGACCAGGCAGAGGCAGGCCAACAACAAACAAGCCTCAAGCATCGTGGAAAAAATACAAAGTTTTAATTGGTTGCGCAAACAAAAGCACAAAACGAGCGTCTAAACAAATCGAAGCCACTCGTCAGTCGGCGGTCAGAAGTAAGTAACGACAACACCAACTACAAAATGGACCTGTGAGTTTATTTCGTCATTTGTATAAAAAACACCTTACACTTAATAAGTGGCGCATGTAAAGCTCGCAGAGGGCGATAGCTCGAGGGATTATCGTGGCTCAGGACTCATACCAATCGAGTAGTGTGCTAGGAGGTCAGCCAGATATCACGATTGAGCAAATGGAATGAGCGACTGTTAATACTCTTGTGCATGCTCATGCTCACGCTCATGAATGACGTTCAAAATCGAAAACCTGAAATGAAGCTTCTACCTGCTGACCAGGTCCAAAGCGATGGCGAGCTGTGAGAGTGACAGGGAGAGCCAGAAACGGAGAGAGTGAGTGAGTGGGAGAGGGAGATGTTGTTTTCGTGCGCTTACCTGTTAGAAGGTGTGGCCAAACGAATTGCGATCAGCGGCGATCCTCATTGATCACACGAGAGAGCGAGATGACAATACGTTGGCATTCGTCGACAATGGCTGAGAAAGAGTTGACTCAGCCATTGAGCCAAACGTGTAAACAAGATGGCATGGGCAACAACTCGGCCAAAGAGAAATAGAGGTAACATCTCGCCCAGCGGCTCGACTACTAAAACGCAAGCACGGCTTGTGATGGTTGAAAAAATTAGCACCGACCATCAATCATTAGCTAGGGAACGGTGGCAACGCAAACAACGTATTCGACGGCGGCCCAAAATCGACGACGGCAACTCGAAAAGTCCCACAAAAAATTCGACGCAAACGTTGAGCGATTCTCTATTCCTTTCGAGGTCTGATTAATCGGTATCTGTGAACTTCTTTTGAGGTGTGGACGAAGTCCGAAATCCGAATAAACCGCAAAAAAAACTTAAATAACTGCGTGCGCGATTGTGTCTGCTGTGTGTGACTTAGTGCGCGATAAAAAAGACGATAAAACTCAATCTACTATTAGCTTCAAGGGATTACAAGAACAAGCACCGCCGGTGCGAGCCGGACAATATTCACAAATTATGTAAGTTTACTGAAAAACAATAATAACTTTGGTCAAAAAAATTGATTGAAATTTAGTAATCCAAACTCGGAGACGTTTCCATATCTCCTTTTGCTGAATCTAAGTCTTATATCAAAATCTGATAGAACGGATCATATTTAAAGAAATTCCAATCTAAGTTACGTTTTTCAAATACATACATTGTCCTATAACAGCAAGACAAGATTACAAAATGAAAAACTATTGCAGCATCTGAAACTTGTTCTCTTTTCTACCCAAGCCCAAACCATTTTAAACCTTTTAATATTCTAAGAGCGGACAGCTTTTTAAAAAAATCAATTCTGGTTTCAGCCTTGATTGATTGAAGTTTTGATTCAACAATATTCAAAACAAGTAGAGTCCGATTCATGGTTAATAAATACTTGGTATAAGAATATTTGGATATGGCTAACATTTACCAACTTATTTTTATTTTAAGTAGCAACAGAAGCTAAAGCAAAAAATTAAAAAAATTATCATAATAAATCAATATAAATATTATATAAATAATTCCAATACAACACTGCCAGCTCTTCATGCAAATATGAAACGTTGTAATTTTTCCCTCAGCCAAAAATCACCTATATATTTATATAATAATAATTAATAATAATACTTTTCTCTCAAAAATATTCCTATATATGTATCTAACTATATATATATCTCGACCCTTTAAAATAGGTGAAAATTATCAAGCTAACCATATTCTATCTATCACAATTTGCTCCATACTATGTGGGCCCACATAGCTAAGTCTAAGGATCATCTTAGCCGATACAGAAAACCATTTACTGTATAAAGTATAAAAAGTACTTTTCTGTCAGTCATCAATATTTGTGCATTTATTTTGTAAATTGTCAAAGCGTAGAGTGTTGACACGTATTTTTTAGCAATATTTATTTATTGTAAGTTATTTTTATTACTTTTGGGCAAAGCAAAGTGTTTGATATGCAAATTTTCAATTGGCAAGCCTATTTAAATAAACGTGTGAAAATCAAACATTTAACCAAACACTATTGCAAAGCGCCGAAAATTCACAAAACTCAAAATTTGACACCCGAATCGCAGTCAACACTTCCCACTGGCCAAATGAAACCAGCAAGTGACAATAACTCATCTTAATGATCCTAATAATAACTCTAATAATATAAAACAGCAGCGCCATCGGCCCACGCGCCTCTCTGCGAGATGCTGGCAAGCTGACAGCTGTGGACTGGCCTAATGTTCACACGCAAATTAGGAGGGACATAAGAATTTGCTTGTGCCGCCGACACGACCGCAGGCATTTTAATCGGCCCGGCAACAACAATAGCTGGGACCCACACAGAGGCGCCCCGTTTAGCTATGCTAACCAATTACGACGCATGTGAAAATTATCCTATTAAATACAAATCAAAAGAACCAAGGAAATTCCTCCCCGCTGTGGTGTGGTGCGGTGCGATGTGGCCGTGCGTCGTACGCCGTACGTCGTCGAGCTTCCGAGTTTAGTACTTGACAAATGCTTACTAATTAATTACAGTTTGTACAATATTTTAGTATGCGTCTCATAAAGTGCGTTTATCAATGACGCGTCGTTGGCCAAGGCGCAAAGTGTGCAGAAAACAAAAGTGCGATAATATGTATCTTTGACTTCCACTGCCACTGCCACTGCCATTGCCACGCCCACACAAACCTGCTCTCATCGTCGCCCAAAAGTCTCGAATTCATGTCACACTCCTGCTGACCGAACCGCAGGTGACGCTGCAAATGCTTCGCAGGCCGAGGCCAAATTAAAATTGGGTTTATTTTCATGTAAAATGAAGTGTGAAATTTAGCGAATCCGTTTAATCGCGTCCGATAAGCTACTAGAGTGTCAGAGTGTCAGACAGCCACTGCCACTGCCACTGCCACTTCCAATGCCACCCGCCAGCAGCGGTTAGAGTAAGCGTGTCCTGGATGGGTGCCAAGCACAATTGCTGTGAAATATATTTATATCACAGCGTTCATTATTAACAAGCAAATTATCGAGTCCACTCTAAAAAAGCCCATGTAGAAGAACTCTTTTATCACACTAAACACTCTCGCATGTTAGGACCTTTTCGTTACGAAAGTCTTTAACGAAATTGCCATAAAATAATTATATTTTGTACATCGAAGCCCTGCAAACAGAACAAGACGTGTTGCCGCTTTAGAGTACTGCTCAAACAAACCTCGTAATTGTTAATTAATTTATAATTACGCGCTCGTTCTACTGGAAATTTTGCAAACTGTACATATTTTCATAGGCTGAGCGCATTTAATTTTCTGACTCACCAATATTTGGTTAAGAATTTAATTAAATTGGTTTATATAATATATATATATATATATATATGTATATATATATATATATATATAATATATAATATATATAATATATTATTTTATAGTTAAAATCAAACAGAATTTCCTGGCTTAAACAGCTTTAATAAATTCATATATTATTTGAACAATTATAAGTGTTTATAGATTATTTCATTCTGTCCATCTGAGCTCAAATTTGATCCAAAATTGTTTTGATACATAAAGAACTCTCTTGTTCTTTGAAGATATTTTACAAATTGAGCAATTACATACGTGACTTCTTTGCAAATATATGGGAAACTCATCTATTTGTATTTATACGAATCCGACTGAAATCTCGCATTTTTTAAATATACAAATAAAATTGAGCGCAAGCAATTACTAACACGCAGATTCAAGCCTTTTGCTTTGTATTGAGGATGTATACATATGTATGAATATATATCTATATATTTACAGATGTGTGTATGTGCTTGGGGTATACGAAATGGTCTGAGTAAACATCAAAGTCACGAAATCATTCAAAAATCAACATCGCAAAGTGGATGGGGAAAAAGTCCGACCAAAAAGCGTCATGGCAGCCATCAAATGTTAAGTTAAAGTACATAGACAAACACGAACGCACACACGTAGCCACACACACACACACATACACCAGTGAGGCACACACAGACACGTGTTCAGATAGCACACAAAAACGGCTTTTCATTAGGCCCCGGTGCGAACTGATGTGGAATACAACCCAAATCTCAAATGCCTGTGCTGCATAGACTCACACGAGTATGCATATACACAAATATATATATATATATATATATATATATATATATATATATATATAGGGTATTATTGTGTTGAAATAACTATGAATAGAGAATTAAATTATATATCACATAGAGCGCATTTAGCTGAATCTGAAATACGCTAGAATTGATTTTAGCTAACAGCAAGCCGAAATTAGCGCACGGAATCTGTGTTCGGGTCTCTGATGGGCTACAATGTGGACAGCCTACCAATTTAATGAATTGATGGTGTTGTTGCGTGTAACGCGCACATTGACACCCCCTTATCATTAGCTTTTTCAATCAGGATTTCGAACATCCAATCGTCTAGCAACATCAAATTACGAATACATATATAACGAATGGGAGACATATTTCAGGCTCATAGACACAATTGAATATAAATCAAAAGGAGCGACAGATTGGGTTAGGTATCTGTGGAACAATGCGATGTCATAACGTATTGAAAAATATCCCAAATATATCAAATATCTCGAGCTTGGCCATAAAATTCGTAGGGAAATCGGGCTGGGGTTAGAGTTCAGGTGCTGCCCGTTGCCCATAGGCGGCATTTCACCTCCAATTCCGTAGCTCAATAAAAACAAACAAAACAATTAATACATTTTGTTAATTTATGATTACAAAACATTGCGAGAAACACTTTCAGTGCCAGGCCAGAATTTAGACATCACTGAACAGACTTAAAGCGTATGTCTCTTCTTTTCGCCGCCGCGTTTACAATCCGTGCTCCAGCCGGGGCCGAGACCTGGCCATAAGAATGCAATACGTAAAAAGGCAGCGACTGTTGCTGCGATGCCGGAGTAAACAGAGGTGTTTGTTACTGTTGCCACGGCCATAAATAAAAAGGGTGCCCGCTGTTTATGGCCAAACAGCCAACCAGCCAGCCAGCCAGCCTGCCAGCCAGCCAGCATCCAAGTGCGCGCTTGAGATTCGAGGTTCGAGCGTTCCGAGACCTGAGTCGTGAGTCGCAGTCGGACTCAGAGTTTGAATTGGAATCTCAGACATGGGCAAGGCATAGCTAAAGTGTGCAATATAATTAAAAGCCGACAACAGACATGGCCCGACTATTCTTCTAATGCGCCCGGGATAGTGCTGTAAAAGTGTATAAAGTGCTGAGATGAGCTGACGCGTCGGTCGGGTCGGCCAGCCCAACGGTCTTTGATGTAATTCCAATGGCGAAGTGCAACAAGGCGGTGTTCATACAACAAGATTCTCAAGTTGTATCTTTACTAACTGGTTATATGTACAGTCTATTACCAATCGATGACAGAGTTAAAGAACGTATTTTTATTAAGAGATAACTTTACTTTGCCTTCTTTTAGTGCTGATTAGTGCTGATTAGTGCAGCTTATCAATTTATCTGAGCCAAGAAGTTGTAGTGAAATAAATATATTTATGAAATTTAAATAAAATTTCTAATAAGGTGGATAGATGTCGTATATGAAAAAAAACAAATGTTATATTGGGCAATGAAACAATACGAATATATTTAAGCTTTGAATGCACAAAGAAAATAAAACAATAACATTTATTTCATATTTTTTATTAAAACTTATAATTGGAATTTAAAAAAAAAATATTTTAAAAACTTTGAATACTATATCTGGTAATTCATAAATAATATAAATAAACAAATAACATTTGTTTTATTATTATTATAAATAAGAATGAGTTTATCAGTTTAGTTTATTATATATTTTAATTGACAGTATTCTTATGATGATCTAAAATATATATAAAATTTTGCTTTAAATATTTATAAAAATTATAATTGGCAAATTGAAACTTTTTATGTGCATAATTTGAACATAAACAAAATCTTGAGAAATGTGTGTCAGGGCTTAACTCAGTTTTAAGATAGGCCAAATCGATGTTTCTATAATTAATATACGGCAATGCCCATTTAAATACCAATTAAATTTGATGGCTTATAAAATGCAGCAATAGAGAGCAATAGCAATATCAACAAAATTATTCAAAAAATACTTTTAAGAAATCATGTTAAATACAATTATAAGTATATAAATTATGTAAACACCCAATCGAGACACTCCTCAAATAAACAGAGGACTAAATTTTGTTATGGAAATTTAGGAGCAACTTATGAAGCAACATTTTTAAAGAGCTTCGTCGCCTTTGTGCTATTGCCTAAAGTATCGACTTTTATCAAGTGATTTGCTAACAAGTATCATATTTTGCTTTGTTGTTGCAGTTGACATGACCACGTCGCATATCTTGTCCGCCGTGGATCCCACGACGGGGCTAAATGGAAATGTGGCAGCTGGAGGTAGTGGCGGTGGTGGTAATGGTGGTGGTGGTGGTGGTGGAGGCGATTCACCTTCTTCACACCACGCAGGTCACAATGGACACGGCCATGGGCATGGCCATAGCCATGGACTAGGTGTCGGCGGCAATGCGGTTGCATTGGGCACAGCTGGCGGAGGAGGCGGTGGGCATCGCATTGTCGGCGGTGCGGGTAGCCCCAATGAACTGGATCGCAATCTCCGTGTCTCGCTGGACGATCGCGAGCTTTGGCTCCGCTTTCAAAATCTGACCAACGAGATGATCGTCACCAAGAATGGCAGGTGAGTTGTATATGACTCAAGGGCTGGGCGGCTAGGCGGCTAGGTGGCTGGGTGGCTTGCCTGTTTCTCGGCCCTTTTTTTGGCCGAGCAACGTGTTAAATGGAAGTTAACGTAGCCCACAGCTACGGCATCGGCTTGCATTGCATTTTGTTTTCCTATGCAAATTGGCAATGAGTTTTTTTGCGCATTTGGTTTTGAGCTGCAATGATTTTCATGTGGTGCTGTTTGCACCTTATAATGAAGCGTTAACGTTTCCACAGCTCCACATTTGCATATATACACCCATACGTACGAACAGCCCAATATATATTTATTTACATGTGAGCGTTTGTAAAATACCTCAAAATATTTACTCATGTACTGGTGCATATATATGTAAATATATTTATCAATATAGTAAGCATGAATATAGAAATATATATAATTATATATATATATATATAGTCTATATATATGTAGACAGATATCTTATATATATATATCGTGTGTGAAACGCGCTTAGAACTTGGAACTAACCGCCCCGGTCTCTGGTCTCTGGTCTTCGGTCTCCGGTACCGGACAGGTGCTAATTAACGCGGCCCGGCAACAGCCGCCATCTTGTACTAATTGTTGTGGAACAGTGCGCGGACGGCGCGTTTCAATATTTGTCCGAAACTGACATCGGCACCGACACAGAGATACAGAAACACCGACGGGGCAATGAAAAGAGAAAGAGAAAGAGAAAGAGAGAGCGAGGGAGAGAGAGAGAGAGAGAGAAGCGAACTTAGCCATGTTTTTGTACTCTATACAACAGTACAGCTCGCCATGAAATCTAAGCAAACAGACAGCAAAGGCAAAGGCAAAGGCAAAGCCAAAGGCAAAAGCAAAGTCAAACGCAAAAATTATGAAATGGAAAATCTGTGGCATTCACCTGTCTATTTGTCTATAGAATATTCACTGCTTTATAACTGTTAAAAGCAGCCAATTTAATTGCAAACCTCTGCATGCCTTGTTTTTTTCCGTAGGAGAATGTTTCCGGTTGTGAAAATCAGTGCCTCCGGCCTGGATCCGGCTGCCATGTACACGGTTTTACTGGAATTCGTGCAGGTTGATACCCATCGCTGGAAGTACGTCAATGGTGAATGGGTAAGTGAATGAAATTGTTTACAAAATATCTCAACTGCAGCTTTAAGCTAGATGGCATCAACTAGTTGAAGAGTGGGACATTGCGGGCAAATTTGTTGTTTTTAGCTTTTTGTGAGCGAAAAGAATTTGAAATTTTATGGAAATTAGTCAGTCATATTTAAACAAGGAATACCGAGAATACAAAATTCATTTTTAAATTTTTCGTCAGCTTGAGCGGAATAAATAAGAAGTGATTGCAATCACAATTTGTTTGTTTTGATTCAGTTCACATTTAAAATGTTTGGAAATAGATTTAAAATAACAGAATGAAATTTTATACAGTTTCATTGTGGTAAATATTTATCATAATCAAAATATACAAATTTTTAAAATGCCTTAATCGATACGAATCAAATGACATATTTTTTTTCTTGCTTAATTTTTTTTTTTTTTTGTTATTGTCAAATTTCTTGCTTAATAGTTTTTTAAATCAAATATTTTTTAAATAGCTTTGTAAATATGGTTCGAGACTATAGAGCTCATAGAAATAATAATAAAATCTTCACAAGCAGAACGAATTTTATAAAACGTTTTTTTTATAATTTTACTAATAATAATAAAAAAAGATAAGTCTATCTAATTTACTTGTAGATGATGAATATATATGAATAATATACATAATATAATGTATAATAATAATTTGAATAATATGCCTTGAAGTACAAAAAGTATTTTGTACAAGTCAGCTTGACCCATCGTCCCTATGAGACATACACAGTCTGGTCCAATCTCTTAAAAAATAAATAAAACTTACTTTAATTGGGTATATTATAGTATACCCATTATTTTTGGAACACTATTTGATTCATGTAGCTGCCAGAAATGTAGCGCATTCTGTTTTACAAGGCAGTTCTATAAGACATAGTTAATCTCTTAATTTTGTTAAATAAGCTGGGTCTGTCGCTACGCTGATAGCAAGATAACCAAACTCATTTCGATGTTGTCATGCACCTAAAATCTAATTCACTTTCCAGCTTTGTATACTCAAATTTAATAAAAAACTACAAGAGGCTTTAAACTTCCGCTCATACAAAGTTCGTCCCTCGGGGATTATTAATATCTAACAGTCACTGCTTTAATGAGAAAAGTCTATCCTTGATGCGCAACAAAGACATCAAATTATATTGATTAAATATATGTATAATAATATATAATTTATATATAAATAAATTAAAAAGAGTTGTGGATAGGCCTATTTAAGTAGAAAGACATGCTATGAGAAGACTCTATTCGAATCATTTCTACAACTCCTTGTTTTGCTTAACAGGTGCCTGGCGGTAAGGCAGAGGTGCCACCTTCGAACCCTATATATGTACATCCCGAGTCACCTAATTTCGGAGCCCATTGGATGAAGGAACCGATTTCATTTGCCAAAGTCAAACTGACCAACAAGACCAATGGCAACGGACAGGTGGGATCGAGATTTATTATCTTTAAGCGCATAACATTAACCATCTGCTGCCTCTGTTTTACAGATAATGCTTAACTCATTGCATAAGTACGAGCCACGAGTTCATCTGGTGCGAGTGGGCTCCGAGCAGCGCCATGTGGTCACCTACCCGTTTCCAGAGACTCAGTTCATTGCGGTGACCGCATATCAGAACGAGGAGGTCACTTCACTCAAAATCAAGTACAATCCATTCGCAAAGGCCTTCTTAGATGCTAAGGAGCGTCCCGACACGCTCTACCCGCACGACACCCACTATGGCTGGCTCATACCACCACCCACTCACTACGCGAGTGCCGCAGCGGTTGCAGCACCACCACCACCACTCTCCATGGCACAGACGCATGCCTTAGTAGCGCCTTCATCTGCAACCTCCTCCACCTCGGGCAACATTTCCACCAGCTGCGACCGCTACGGCCGCTCTCTGTCCACTCGCAGCGCGGCGCCTAACCGCTCGACGCCGTACAGCCGGCCGCGTGTTGTCTCTGGCTCCGGCTCGAATGGCAGCGCAAACGCGTCTTCTTCCTCGCCGCAGCCTCCATCTGCTCCGCAAACACCCACAAGTCTCCAATCGTCGATCGGCTCGGTCAGCACCAGCAGCGGCACAAACACAAGCGTCAGCGCAGGCAGCAGCGGTGTCAGCGGCTGTTTCGCCAGTTCCTACTCGCAGTCAGGCTTCGTTCCTGTGGAAGCGAGCTCCACTGCATCGGTATTCTCGTATCCCAGCAGCTGGCAGAGCAACAGCAACTACTGGAGCTCGACAAGCGTGCCTGGACCCATGCCCGTGAGCGTGTGCAGCACCCGCAACATATGTATGTAAAAAGATATGACTTCCAATGCAACTGTTATTTATTTGATTACCCTTTTCAGCTACGCACAATTCGCCTTCACCCACAAACGGTTCGCCAAGCTATACGACACCATCGCCAGGATATACCATACACCACCTGACGCCGCATAGCCACCAGTACAATATGCCCCAATCGGATCTCTACGCGAGTGGAGCAGCCTGCTCGAGCTCTCCGCAAACCTATGGTGCACCCACACATCAGGTCTACCATCCGACGCCCACCTCACCCTCCCACCAGCTGTACCCAAACGTGCTAAACGGACCCTCAGCGCTGAGCTATCCAAGCAGCGGCTGGCACAATGGCTCGGGCGCCGAGTACGGGCTGTACCAAAACGCAGCTGCTGCCTATTACCAGCCGGAGTATATACCACTCGAGATAGGGTAAGTGATTGGGGAACCAGTTGAACCGCGAACTCTACACTTATATCGCTAAAGTAGCTATCAATGATTCCACTCTCGAATCGCGAAACATGTTACAGCTATGCCACCCATCCGCTGGAGCCCGTGGACGTAACGAAGACGCTTGATGAATCACAGTCCGCCATGTACAAGCCAGCCGAAGAGCAAACCTCCGTCATCACACTGGAGTGCCCCAGTGCCAATGGTCTTAAAACAGGCCACAATCACAACGACATCAAGCTGGAGTCCCTCGAGCACAACGTGGATCGCACTACACTTCCGAATGTGCCCTTGCCCAACTCCTTGCCTGTGCCCAGTTCTCTGCCTACAGGAGTGCCCACTTCCGTGGTCACAGCTGTCACTGCTGACACTTGGACACCGCTAACACCACCCCAAAGCACTCTGCAGTGATGGCCAGCTAATTAAAAAATAACAACAACAACAAAAACCAACTCAAAGACAGCCAATGCACCGCCCCAGCCTTTAGACGCATGTTCCCTACTTGGATAAATCGAGTAATTGAATTAAATATTAAGACCCCTTTTTAAGTAGCACAGCATGCAAAGTACACTGTAGTAAATGTGGAAGTACTCTGAGACGAGTTTCCCTAAAGTTTTTATTGAATTATCTATAAAATATATATACACACTTTCTATTATCAAAATTCGGACTGCATTAAGTCGAGTTCGTTGACTAAAATGGAATTTAACGTAGCTAATTTCGAATGCTTTCCTTACAATATTTAGTGTAGAACAAATAAGAGTTAAATAGTTTATAATTTCGGAACACCCTATGGCCGGCTTACACAGAGCTATGCACTTTTATGGCCACAGTGGGGCCAGCCAATTGTATTATGAATGTAAATGAAAATGATAAATTTGTTTTAATCGATTAGGGCGTGCATAGATGGCATAGATTTCCCTTAGCATTGGCATTAGTTTTGATTAGTGTCCGAAGCCAAAGCAGAAATAAAGTTTGCCCATAGCTAATTAAGTTAAGCGTATTGTTTGAATCAAAGGCGAACTCAGCTTTCCAGAAAACTAGTTTGCAACTTCTCAAAAACAATAGAGCCCTCAAACGCATTGAGACCTGCATGGGAGCAGCCGCAAAATGTTATCCGGGCAGCAATCTGCCAGCTTCAGCACCAGCAATCCACGAAGCCATGAACACAAAATGCACCACAAAGGAATGTGATGATAATGAGTTGAATTGTACACGTTCATGTACATGCACATGTATGTGTGTGTGTAAACAGGACTCTAGAAAGTGGAAAGTGGAAAGAGGAAAGTGGAAAGTTGAAAGTTGAAAGTTGAAAGTAATGACAGCTGAATGTGCCACCATTAGAATTGAATAGCTGGACACTCCAGCGCACACAGCTGCACAGCTGCAATTAAAATACACGCCACACTCATTGTCGGGGGAGTGCGCGAGTCAGAAAGCTATATTGGGCTCATAAGGAGCTGCTGTTAACACTTACCTGATAGTCCATTGAATTGCCGTAACCCATGTGATTGCAGGAGCACGAGCAATGCTTGATATGATGCTCCAGTTCATCTTCGATTGTGGCGCCACCTAGCGTAGCATTATGTCCATAACAAGCAGCACTCAAATCCTGATTATATTTAACTTGCTTACGCCCCATGCCTGGCTCCCAGTCAGCATCCCGCTTCAGATAACGAACTTCGCTTCCTTGAAGCTCCTCTGGCTGATTTGTGGCCTGTGTCAGGCCCATCATAGCCAGAGGCTGACCAATAATCTGTTGCTGTTGCTGCTGTTGTTGTTGTTGTTGGTAATCAAGAGCGCTCGCACTCTCACCCTCAAGGGATGTGGACTTTAACATACGCTTACCGCCTGTGGATTGCATTGCCCGATTACGATTGGGACTCGGGCCAGGACTGTGGCTCTCTTGCGCTGTTAATGTTAAGCTTCCGCCGCATAAGAGCGCGCGCTCAAAGCTTTTGCTTTGCCTGTGAAAAGCTTCGTAAGCAACAGTTTCGCCATTGACAACGTCCTCGTCGATGCCGTGGGGCTGATAGCGCCTGCTTGCCTGCCCACCAGTTGCTGCTGCTGCCGCCGCCGAGGCAGTCACTGTCACCGCCGTGCTGGCTGCGGTTAGCATTAGGCTGAGCCGCAGCAGCTCGTTGGAGTCCGCTGGTGGCAATGGGACACTACACGAGCCTGTTTCTGTGACGCTGTCAGGTGCTTCAGACTCAGCTGTTTCCGGATTCGGTTCGTCCGACGTGTTGGACTCCAGTTCGCTCAGCTGTTGCTGTTGATGCAGTCGAGCGCGTTGGCCAATGATCGATGCAGCCGTTGAGTTGGCGCCGTATTTCCAATAGGTTTTGTTGGTACCCACAATGCGCTGCAACTGCGGCGGCATCTGCTTCGCTTGTGCTGCCTGGTTCTGCCGCTTCTGACGCTCCAACTGTTGCAGTGTCTTGAAGGTTTTGCGTACCGGTTGCGTGTGATGAAGCGTGGCACAGCGGCGCATAGGCGGCGGCGTATATACGGGCGAGACACTATAGCTGTAAGAGTGGCGGGACGGCGACAAGGATCCGCTTGATTTGGCGCCCACAAGGCGTGCCTTGAGTTTCTTGCCAAAGCCCATACTGCCTCCACCTCCACCTGCAGCTCGTGGTGATAAAGAATGTGCAGATAGAGAAAGCGCGCGGGAAAACTTTAAGCGAGTGCTGCTGGCGACGCTGCCAGGCGATTGCCGCTTGGTAGCTATAAGCTGGCACTCATCGATGGTGGGCAACTTGAGCAGATGTGGATGCAGTTGCGCATAGGTCAAAGCTGGCTTGGCACCGCTGGCACCGCTGACACCGCTGACACTTCCATTTTCAGCCCCACCTGTTGGAAGGGGCGCCTCGAAGAGATTCTTTTGGCTGAGCGCCAGAAACTCCTTCTGCTCCTCCTCCTCGAGCGCCTTCAGCGCACACAAATCCCATTCTCCAGATGACATTTCGAACTAAGGACTATCCTTAATTTCGCAATTTAACACTCACATTTCGAGGACACATCGATTGGCCGCGAGCCGAACTGCATAACCGTCAGCACACGGGGCTATTGGCGCACTGAACGCTGTCAGCACACAGCACCGTTATTTTATAACGGCCACTCGTACCACAAATGCCATCCACAGTGTGGAACGTAAGTGACCTAGCTTAACATTTGCGTCAGTGTGTCGCTCTGTTAAGCAGCTGCACCGAGAAATTCTACCAGACCCACAGCTCTGCAAGCGAAAAGCAACAACAACGCATGTCTATGATCGAATAACAGATATCCTGTATGCAGTTAAGAAATTTATACACTTTATTAATGTGTTCAACAACTGCACATGCAGCAAGCACGCTTTTATCTTGTTATAACATAAACAAGGAAGTTTCTAAAGATTTCGACTCTGGAAGCTGTGTGAAAATATCACTTTTCCATAACTCCAAACTTATACTTAACTTAACTAACATATGTTAAGGAATCAAGCTTAAGTTGAAGCTTAAATTAAAGTTTAGCTCTGTCAATAGCTTTAATTTTAGCTTCGGTTCAGTTCAGTTTTCCTATATTGTAAAGTTCGGAAAGTGCATAAATAGCGTTTTCTTAAAATACTGCTCGAATTTTAAATATTTGAAATGACAAATAAAAACCATTTTAAGATTTATATTCTACTTAAATTCATCTTTAAAAACATATAAATATTATTTTTATTTATAAAACTGCTTTATTATATTTACCTCAATTTGTAATATTAAAAAAAATGTTTAAACTGTTGACAAAATATTTAAATTTTGTTAGTATATTGTAATATTAAAAAAAAAATGTTGACAATATATTTAAATATTGCTATAATATTGTCATATTAAAAAAAAATAAAAATAAAAATTGTTGACAAAATATTTAAATTTTGCTATCATATGTCATTAGTTCGTGGATATCTTGGATCTAGAATCGAATCTAGGAATTCCCTGCTTTTACCTTCAGTCAGTGGCTGACTACAGATACAATTGCAAAACAATGAAAAATATTATCAAATAAATTGCATTTATATTATTATCAGATAGTTTTTAATTCTTTATTTATCTTAACTTTATATTCATATTTCTCTAGCAACAGAAAATATAGTGACAGTGTAAATAGAGGATACTATTCATACAAGTTTTGACTACCTTTATTTGTTCCCAAAAGCAATTACAGGTTTTTACCAATCGTTGATTAAGTTGTACAACCATCTGGCCAAGCAGAAGGTAAAACTTTTAAATAGCTAAACAATAAGCCACACTACAACAAAGCCACTACAATGATACTGAGCATAATGGATATAGATGCAACTAAGAGTAATCCGTTTCGCATTGAAATTGTAAGTGTTAATAATACTGTGACAGCGCTAATGGCTGTGCCACTAGGAAATATGCACGCGCATAAATTTCCTATCCAATTTTGCAGGCAGTAACATGGCCGCGCTGCTATTTTTGAAAACCACAGCCGTGTTGGCAGTTGCCCCTTCCACAAAGCCTCCTGCAGACGCTCATCATCGACCTGACAGCGACATCAGTTAACGCTGCTATGCGTGGCCATATATTTATTTGCACACACACACACACACAGTGTGGCACTCGAGCGTGTTGCACATAGTTGCATGCTGCGCACACATTCATATGAGACCTCATCCTTCATCGCTGATGTATGGCCTTCACTTGGAAGCAGCTAAGCAGCTCGCACCGAATTGTGTTAATGAAATTCAAGTCCGTGTGGCAGATGCTCAGGTCTGTGTGCGCTTTGCACACACAATTTATAAGACATTCCCAAACATCAAAAACTGTGTTCACTAAATTGCAATTTTGCGTTCATTTAAAAAAAAAGTAGTTATAAAAAAAAAATAGAGCAAAGATAAAATCTTAAAGTCTCCATCCAGTGCCTGTGCCTCTCCCAAGTCATCCAAATTAGTATGACAGTGTATCTAAATACCGAATAAGATTTAACCTTTTGCATGCGACTGCAATATTTCAACTTGTATCCGCTTAGGAAAACTTCAGTTTTATTTTTTATACAAATGACTAAAAAGGTACCTGAAACTTGCATTTACTTATATTTCATTATTATTTCTTCATTCTTATATGCACATTAACATATACGATTCGAAAAAGATCTGCAAATAACCTCTTTAATCTCCCTCTATGTTTAATTGGCTCAATTTATTTATCTTTATTATCTTTCTATCTCTCTCCTTTCCTCTCTCATTATTTTTCCTTATATTAAACTCTTTCCCGTGCTATCACCCTTTCTCTCTCTCTTCTTCTCTCCTCCTTCTCCTTTTCTTTTTATTTTGTTTTCTCTCTCCTTCCCTTCCTTCTTTGTTTATCTCATTTCCACGCTTTCTCTATAAATTTCTCTTTATTTTAAATTATTTTATTCTATCCTTCTCTCTCTCTTTCTCTGTATATATCTTATATCTCCCTCTGTCTCCCATTTCTGTCTCACTCTATCTCTCTAGCACTCTCCAACTTCTGATCTCCCTTGGCTCTCTTTATCACTTTCTTTTTCCCTCTCTCTCTCTCCCTCTCTGTCTCTCTCATTCTTTACCTTATATCCTTCCATCTTTATCTATCTCTTTATATTTTTCAATCTTCATCTCTCTCTATATTATCTCCCAAAAGTCGCTCGGTTGTGCATCTAAAGAAGAGTTCTCATTTGAAAACCACATTGCGAAAGCAAGTTGTGATGGCATACGTTTACAAAAAACATGTACAAAAGGCAGCCAGACAAAAGTTTTGAATTCTCTTCAAAAAAAGCGAATCGTATAAAAATGCATACAAAGTTACGTATCCGCTCTGCTAAGACCACATGCATATATCCTCAGGAGATTCAACTGTGTTCAGTCGGCACTCTCAGCTTCTTTCACTTGTACTTTCGATATCTGGAAGCAGCCAACGACTTGCGAACGTTCTTAGTTTCCATATTTGATTTATTAACATACTTTAACAAGAAGGAAAGAAAACGCAGCATTTTCCAAAAAATTATGCAACTTAATTTGAGCAAGCCACAAATTTTCGTCGCAATGTACATTGTCACATGGCTGCTTCTGTTGCCGTTGTAGCTGTCGCTGCCGCTGCCGCTGCCGCTGCCGCTGCCGCTGCCTCTGCCTCTCTCAGTCTCTGCCGTCGGCAAGCCATAAATTTAGGCAAACGCCCAGCTCAGCCATCTCTCTCTCTCTCCCTCTCTCTCTCTGTCTCTATCTGCTCAGGCTCTGTTTTCTGTTCGGTGCACTTTGGGGCTGCGAAACGCCCACACAACTTGGACAAAGTTTGTGCTGCTCAGCCACAGGCAGAGGCAGAGGCAGAGGCACGGGCACTAGCCCAGGCACAGGCACAAGCACAGGCGCTGTGCTGGAAGCTGCCGGATGCCAAAAGTCGAGATCAGAAACAAGCTGCTGCTTGGTGAAGCCAAAGTTGCAACAAGCGACCGAAGCGTCGGTGCCCTCGTCATTCGTGCCCGGGTCATGGGACGGGGTTGAGGTTGAGGTTGAATATGGGGCAGGCGCCTGTTGCGGTGCTGCATTTAATTTCATTCATAGGGCCGTTGGAATAAACGAGCCAAAATCGAATCTACTCCGATGATGATGCCGCTGCCGCTGCCGCTGCCGACGCCAATACTTGCATGTGTAACTGTAACCGGCATTACCCAGCTGCCTGCCACGCCCCCTGCTCGACAAGAACGAAAATCAAAGCACGCTTTTCGGCGAGCAGCCAAAGTCCAGGCAAACAACAAAGCAACAAAACATCCAGGCAGGCAGGCAAAAGTTATTGAATTGAAATTCTGCCTTCGCTTTGAGGCAACAACATAATGCTTCTGTTATTTGTGCCACATGCTGTTTGTTGTTTTTAGTTTTTCGTTTTTCGTTTTCCGTTCTTAGTAGCACTTGCGACTCCTTTCGCTTCAGCTTCACTTATGAACTCAGACTTTGCCATAAGCAGAGAGTGTATCACAGAAACAGATGTTTCCACACGTGAGGGCAGAGCAAAGCAGAAACAATTCAAGAATTTTTTAATAAACATGTCGTATCTCCTAGCTATTCGAAACAGATACTCTGCATCTGAGTGGGCATAAATGTGTGTAAATAATTTCTCGTGCTTAAAGATAGCTGCAGCTTGGCTTTTGTTGCAGACACAACATGAGGAGGGCAACAGACATATGTCCAGTTATATAAATATATATATATATATATATATAATCCTGTGTTTAACAAATAGAATATACATACTAATTTCAGCTTGTTTATTGTTGTCATCGTTCACTATTGCAAACAAGAATATTGCAATTGGGTATGATCGACTGTTGCGTTACAAGCAAGCAGCTTATTCTATACAAATTACTATATATTAAGCCTTCAAAATTTGGGAACTTATATCTTCTGTAGTGCCTTTAACACATGACTCGCACCTGAGCCACCTCAGGAAAAGCTCCATCTCTGCCATCGACTCTGCCTAGACAGCAGCAGCAACTGACAATTCACAAGACAAATGAATCACAATTGAGATTCAATTAATATAATTCAAACAGGAATGCACCCACTTCAAAGGTGGTTCAATATTGCATTTAACAAGTGTAATATAGAGTTGTATGTAAATTTAATTGATTAATTTACTGAAAAAAATGTAGTTGGCCCCAAAATACTAAGGAAATCAGAACTATCTAAATCAGATATGAAACTGAATGCAAGCAGAATATGTACATTTAAAATATAATAAAATAAGTCAAAATTAATAGAATAAAGATCGATTATTTGGAACAAACCGGATCTGCGTGCACAGATCGGAGCAACAACCTCAGTCAAGTCAGTAATTCATATAGGTTCCAAGACCGAAGCGCTCATGTATAGACAGAGAAAGACAGACGGATGAACAGACAGATGGACAGACGGATAGCCAGACAGATGGATGGACGGAATGATGAACGGACGGATGAATGGGCAGACTGACAGACAAGTAAAGATCCACTCAGCTCGTCCTCCTTAAGAGAGTTGGGCAAATTTTCTTCTTCTGCTAATGGACATAGGATATAAAATTGATTCCAAGTACTTGAGAATGTTTTCAAAATTAAGCATGAACTCTTCAATTGTAGTTGAGTCAACAATCCATTATAATGTATAAGGAAATTATTATTAAATATTATAGTTAAAAAAAATATTTTCCAATATACAAACAACGAATGAGAGCTATGATATAACTTAACTTCAAATACAAATTGATAGAAAAAGCACAGGGACAAGAAAACCCAATTGTTATGTACACAAATATACATATAAATGTCTAAATATATCTATATATATATATTTATATTTTAATGTAGACAAGTCGAATTGAATTTCATGATATTGTTCGTAACTATTCTAAATAATGTCGCGGCGTCAGCAAGAAATTCAGCGCATTGAGCGCGAAGTCAGGGCCAAGCTACCCTATCGCACCTTTCGCGAGATCACCTTCGATAGAGAGCTAATTAAGAAGAGCATTGTGCCGTTAAGTTTTATAGAGGCGCGTAGAAATCGGGGTCCGGTCTATGAGGCGCTGCAGGCAGAGTTGCGCCACGAAGGCTGCAAGATGATGCCGGAGTTCGTGCGCTGCTTGGCCGAGAAGGAGCAGGCGTTGTTCGAAACCCTCAGCATTCGCGCCAGGATCATTGACGAGCGCCCACTGCTCATAGAGATGATTGAGAAGATGAAGCAGGCCGAGCTTGCCGTGATCAAGCGCAAGCACAAGGGACTCAAGGAGTGCTTCAGCCTCTTCTATGAGACACTATTGTTTCTGCAGCCATACCGCGTAAAGTACGAATACGTATTGAACGCTGTGATGGAGCACATCGTGTCGCTGTGCCACAACATCGAGGGCCAGGAGCGTGATGCAGCCGAGATGATTGCTCGCATCTATTATACATATGCCATGTTCCTGGAAGGCACTGGCCAGAGAGCCAATTCGATTACCTATCTCACCTCCACGCTCAAGCTGGTCCGAGGGCATATGTGGCTAGCGGAGCCAGACAAGGGCTCGGCCAGCCCCATACTCCATTGTCTGGTTGCCCAGCAGCTGGCTCGTCAAATGCTTATCCATGGCCGCCAGACTGCCCGCCAGCAGCCCGAGGAGGCCGTTGACATGGCCCGCAGGGCTACCGTGATTATAGCAGAGAGTAAGTTAGAGCGACAACAATATGAGAAAAGGTAAACGAGCTCAGCCATTTCATTCCATAGTCGGGCGGCAAAAGAACTTGGACATATTTTGTGACACTTTCTTGGAGCGGGCCTTCTTTCTGATGGAAGGCAACAAATATCACGCCGCCCAGCAGTGCCTCGAGCAGATCAGGCCTGAATTAACGGCGTGCACCGAATACAGATTTGTCAAGCTGAACATTAAGTTCTATCTGTATCTGGGACAATGCGCCGAGAAGTGAGTAGTTGCCCAGGGGATATGCATATGTGTGCAATGACGTTTCTCTGCCCACAGCTTCGATGACATAGACAAGGCTATATCCAGCTTTAAGCGAGCTCTGCGACTCTCGCGCTTGTACGAGCACAAGGACCATGAGGCCGAGATCCTTCTCAACCTGGGCAAGCTCTTTGCCAGGGACACCTCAAAGACGGGCATCGCCAAAAAGTGCTACAACCAAGCAAAGAAAATTTACATTGACTTCAACGACACCCACAGGAAGAAGATGGCCGTCTTTCTAATGGGCAAATTGCTGGCCGATGAAATCACGCCGCTCTACATGGCCATGCTGAAGGCGTCCGGCTCTAGGTATTGCGCGTTCTACAATCTGCGCCAGTGGAAGAATCGCTGTCGTCCGTTCTGGATGACGCTGGGCAATGAAATCATCAAACAAGAATCCAACGCCATCTACTGCCTGCTCGAGGAAGAGAACGAGGATCCCAGAAACGAGCCCAACTTCATTGACTTGGAGAACGAAACATTCAAAGTCGAGGAAGGCGACATATTATGATTCGGCATAGAGTATCCATTAATTATTCGAGAAAATTGTTATTGTTTGTTAAGTCCATCCGCGGGGCAGCATAAGACTAACAAAACCTTGCGCCCAGGACTACACTCAAATCCCGCTCTATGAAATAGCAATTCCTTCGCAGTGCAGTTTCAGTGTAGTCCTTAGCGCAGCTTGGAGCTAGGCTTTGTGTGTCCAATAAAAACTTTCGATAAATTCGCTCAGCCAAAGCCGAAATATGTTCTTCGAATGCCTCCTGCTCTGGTGACAGTTACAAATTGGTGGCACTAACAATAACCTGGCATCCAGTGCGCAGCCCCAGCCACAGCAACAAATGTTGCTGATGCTGATGCATGTGGCAAACGGCTCGTGCAGCGGGTGGCAGCCTTTGTAAATTGCCAATGTAATGCAAGTCGCAATGCAATAAATCCGCACACAACATGTCGGCGAAAAATTCCAAAAACATTTTCGAACTGCATATTTATCATGCCACACACAAACATGCAACTGCACGTGGACACGCCTCCGCTCTACAGTTGCTAAAAAATATTAATAAAACTGGATCGCTACAAAAAGGTAGCAGCAATCAAATCGAGCGACTCCAAGTAATTAGGCTGCATAAATAATATATCAGTTCGAAACAGTGAGGAGCCGAGCGAGGATTTTATTCAATTAAGTTTAATTGGATGTTTCAACTTTACAAGTAGCTTTTTAAAACACAATTTTCCTGAAGTGAAATATTTATTAAGCAGCGTCTACTCAGTGCTTGAACTTGAATTGAGGCAATTGCCAGACAACAGACTAGACGATATAATTAATTGTCGCATGACTTTGTTGTTAATATTCTATTTTTAATATATGCATATATATTTAAGTATATTAGGAGAGTATAAAAGCTAAGATTGATAATGAAATAGCTTGGGAAACATATAGAATTTTTGAGATGTATTTTACATAAGAAAGACACCGACCATTTCTGCATTGGAAATCACTGCAAAGTTCTTTTTTAGAAACTAATTTTGGAATTGGAAATGTTGGTACAATTCTTAATTTATATAATTGAAATATATTGGGCCAATATGTAGTAAATTCAGTGTCTTAAATAATAAATAGTATATAAACAATTTTTAGAACTTTCCAATTTGCAGTCTAAATAGTTTCAGAAGAGCTAAACAACACTGATAAATACTTAAAAATGAGAGCAAAGTAAAAATATGTTGAGCGTAAAACTCTCAATTCAATTGCTAAACGCAGCGAAAACTTCTGCAGTTTCATTAAATTCACTTGAGCGCGTTTTGCTTAAATTTGAATTTAGTATATAAAAATGATCAGATTTATTTCCGAGTTTTAGTTTTGCTATGTTGGCTCAGTGATACTCTTAGGCGCTATTCTTCACCAGCCGTGTAAACTCTGTCGGGTCGCACAAGACTTGCAGTTATTATAGATTTATAATGCTGCAACAATACGCAGTTAGTTTGGCCGCAAAGTCAACGCTTTCCTAGTTTCGGACAAAATATTTTTGCATGTTTTGGCGTTGGGTAGAAAAGTTGCTGCTGCTGAGCTGCGAAAGTTGGCAAATGAAAACAGATGCCTAAAGTTGCTTAATTAAAATGAAAAGTGAAAAATGGAAAATGGCAAATGGGAAGTGGCAAATGAGAGGCACTCCACTCGCCACGATTTATCTGCGACTCTGCGCAGCAGTGGCAATCAAAAGAAGAATGCGTAGCCAAGGACGTCATCCTTTTTGGGAGAATACGCACAAGTGTCGCACACATAATCCGGCGCAATGAACGTCTAGTCAAAGCAAAGTTCTGTTAAATCTATTCTCAGACGATGCGCTGCCAAATTAAAACTAAATTACGAAACAGCAAATTAGCCTGAAACTATTAGAAACATTTATGTAAGCTGCCGCTGCTGCTGCTGCTACCTCTACGACTGCCTCTGCCTCTGCTTCCGCCACACACGGCGTATACGTAACTTTCGTATGATACAGCAATTTGGCTGCCTCGTTCAATAATGTGCTAAAACTTTTTACAACTTTGTCAATTAAAACTTTATTGCTCGAGGCGAGTGAGTTTCGCATAACTCGCGAATAATACAGCCAGCAGATTGAATTCGCTTTTCGCATCGACCTACAAATTATTCTCATTGTATATTAATTGCCCGACAGAGCTCTATTATTATGTTGTAGCCGCATTCGAGATTTATGTGGCAGAAACTGAAGCCCTCTTCGGGTTTAAACTGGGTTCAATTGCTCACACTTGGCCAACAGCAATCTCTCAGCGAATCAAAACGTTTTCAAGTCACATTTCCAGCAATGGATTTTATAATCTGTTAAGAGATAATTTTTAATGCAAATTTAAATATTTATTTATGTATTATAATATATTATATTTTTTATATATTTATATTATGTATTATATATTTATATTTATTTATTATTTATTAAAAATGATCGCCTCCATTCTTGAGCAGCTCTATGCAAAACAAATAAAAATGCGCTAATCGGTGTGCCTAACTAGAAGATATCCTGTACCCAGTTCCATCTACGTTCTTTTAATAAGTTCCATAGCTCAAGGTTTTAAGTCTCTAGTCACTAATATATGTGCCGGACAGACGGCTTGGCTTGTCGTCCTGATCTAGAATATATATACTTTATGGGGTCTGCCACACCTTCTTCTGCCTTTCAATGTGAAAGGGGAAAGTCGTACCTTAAGAATTCTGTTTTGTAACTCATATTCTTTCGATATTTGTATAGCATTGAGCATAATTAGAAGGAAAATTAGTATTAATATAATATATATATATTAATATAATAAATTAATATTAATATATTGTTTTTTTTTCCAAAATACTCTTTTGTTTTTTTGTAAAATTTTCCATGCACTTTTAACACTTAGACATAAATAGTTCTAAAATTAAATCATTAAGGGCTTCTTCAGGCGTTGGCATTCCTCCCTCCTATTTTATATTTGATGCTCAGGATCAAAAGGAAATCATATCAAATAAATACAATTTTTTGAGTGCTCAGCTCACTCAAAAAGAACAAAAATAAATTTAAGTGCTGCAAGAGAGCAATATATAAAGTAAAAATATAATTGCAATTTGATAAATGGCCTTTAAATGGCGCTTTAAATGGCGCTCTGAAGCAATTCTTCATCAGTTAATAAAATAGTTTATTATGTTCTACTTTATAAAAGATAAACTAGATTTATAGTTTGCATTTGCATTTGAATCGAACTAGAGTATTGGATGATAATATGAAATTAGGTTCTTAGGCTAGAGAAACGTTGCAATTTGCTTTGACTTCCAAGTTACATTTGAAATTCATTGAATTTTATAATAGAAATGGAAATTTAAAAATTAAAATAGAAAATTTATAAATCCTTAGAAGGAAAAAAGTTGAATCACAGCTAAAATAGTTTTTTGTTTTTGTTTTGTTAACATTCATAGATAATAAAAAATAATAAAAGAATATTTTTTGTGTCCATTTTTTCAGTTTGTAAAACAATAAGTTTACAAAAATGAGTTTATAAAATGATTTTATAATGACATTATAATAATTTAAGAAATGCAATCTTTAATAATTTAAATTGTAAAATGATAAATCAATCGAATGAAACAGACTTTTATATAATTGGTGTAATGCAGCAGGTGCCATCTGGAAGTCTTGGCATTATCCGAGATGAATATGGCTGCATATGAAACAGTTCTTAGTTCTTACAAATCTTGATTACTGTCGGATGTTTGCCGCTTGTGACTGTGTCATGATCTTGAGGTATCCATTGACTAGATAAATCTGAGGATCCTCGGGTCCAGTGCCATCCGGATTGGTCTTCCAGCTGATTGTCAGACAGGGCTCCCCAGGCTTCGGCTCCTTTGGCATAGCTATTTCATAGTTCTTGGCATCTTCGGGTCTCACATTGTTTTGAATGAGCAACATGGATTGCTGTGACTCAGTCACATCCGGCACTATAAATTTGAGAGCAGGCGTGGCTGTATTGATATCTTTGCTAGCCTGGAGTCAGCTATTTCTACTCACTTGGATGACTCCAAACATCGACGAGCAGCAGCAGCAACAGCAGCAGCAGCAACGGCACAAACTTGTGCAATGCTTTTGTTGATTTCATAATTTTGATTTGGCTTCAAATATTTATAAACAAAGCGTTCGCAACAACAACAACGACAACTAAATAGAAGCTTTAGATTTGTTTTATATACTATATGCTGCACGCGTCTCTATGTATGTAGTAAGGGCACTCGTATTATCAAGCAACGTCTTGAAACAGAGAAATCTCAGCTCGAACTGTGCGATGTTCAAATGTACCAAGTCGAGGCAGCTCAAATCATGCTGCTCTTTGATAGTCTTTCTCTCTCTAACTCTCTCTCTCTCTCCCTCTCCCTCTCACTCGCTCTCTCACTTTGCTGCTCACCTGCCTAAGAGCTATTTAGTTTGTCTGGCTTATCAACTTGTCGTTAGACTTGAATGAATCAATTGCTTCTATGAGTAAATGTACTCATGTCTGAGTAGAGATTGCCTGCTCGAGTTGTAAACAAAGAACGTATCAATATCAACTGCTGATAGACAGCACACAAAGGAAAATGTGTGCGGCCCCAGCTGAGGTCAGAGATTCGGACCACCTACAAGCATTTGTGCAATGCAGTCGACAGCTGATATATTATTAAGTGCCTTTCATAAGTATAAATGGCAAGCGATTGTCTTGAGTAAAACTCTTGCATTTCACTGCATTGTTGAAATCGTGCTCATATATAAATCAGCTATGTACATATGTTCCAAACTAATGATACTCTTCCATTCATAATTATAATCATAAATGATTCACACATATTTCTCACATAATTCGTTCAATGTACAAAAACGTTTGTTTCGTTAAATATTAAATTTAAATTAAACTGTGCTAAATTAGTCTGCTATAAATATAACAGTTTCGTTTAAGCTGTGTTGTGAACTGCTTGTTTGTGTATTAACCTGCTTGCTGCACTAAGCAGTGTGCAGCAACCAGTTAATATTCAGGTTAATCCCAGCATCATTTCGGTTATTATAGTATTTTTAGGATTTGATATACCTCAAAGTACATTTCGTGCATACACGGATTTTAGATGTATAGAAACTTGCTTTTTATAGTGCTTTATTGTTTGGTCTTAATACTATTTAAAGTATATTTTTGAATTATCCATACTTGCAAGCGCACTGCTTGCATTTGCCAATGCCTGGTATTTTTTCTACAGTATTTTAAGATCTTATAAATCTAAAGTATTTTTAACTTATGCACTCCTAGCAACACTGCTCAGCACTCTTTGTTTGGCGCCAATTCAAATAATTGTATATTATTCAAATTAAATTATTGTTAGTAATCGAAACCAGCAAAAATGAATACCAAGACTTTCTTTTCTTCTGTATTAATAGTTTATTATTTAATTTGCATTTAATTTATTTAATTCGTAACTTACAGCAAAAACATTAAACGTATTTGTAAACAAACAAGCTTAATTGTAGTATGTATTTTATGTATTATGTAACTTTAGCAACAATTGTTTATATTTTACATTGCAAATAATGGAATCTACAGCTAAGTCGTTACAAAGTTGGAAAAGTATTTATTTGCTATTCGATCTGTAGCATGTGGATAGGGGTCGGGGGGGACTGGGCCTAGGTCTTAAGGACACTTTAAGAATGGTTAACAATATATATTAAATAATATACATATGCCAAACAAAATGCCAAATATAAATTAAATTAACTTATTTGACTCTGCCCTTGGACGGAAACCGTTGCATACAAAATTGTTATTAACAATTTCAAAGAAAAAAAGTAGAGAAAAGAAAAGAAAAGAAAATTGGCTGCTTCCCTTGTTTAGCAAAATCAAATAAACTTTGCGCGTTTGCTTGGAAGACAAATGAAAACAATTTGTTTATGCAAATTCCAATTCAATTTGTTGGGTCTCAAACAGAATCTTGAAACTTTTCTATTGGTTTTGTGTTTCGTGAAGTGTCGATTTGTGTTTCCTTGTGTTGTTGCTACAGTACACAGTCTTTGTAATTGTTTTTCTTGTGTCTCTCTTATTTCAAGCTGTTTGACATCGGAATCAGAATCGGAATCGGATTCGGATTTTGTTGGGTTTTGGGTTCCGCCATCCCCACTAAACTTCCGTGCTGTGCGTCTGAATGCGAACCTTTTTCACACTTCCATTGCGTCGCATAGGCGGCGAGCTGCCCGACCCAGAATATCCTGGATTTTGTATGCCCAGCGTAGGATCCGGCCTGGGACGTGGCTTTTTCAAGCTCGAGCGCAACGGGGAACGGGTCACTGAGTCCAGCGTGGAGCCATTCGAAACGCTCGTTACGGTCGTGCTCATAGACGCCACACTTCCAGCAGTTCCAGCTCCGTTGCGTATGCCGCTGTATGGCTTGCCCGAGGCATCGGTCATCGAGACGCCGTTGCGATTGCGCGGCTCCTTGAAGCCCGGATTGTTAAAGGTGGTTGCACTTGCCGGAGAAGAAGCGTCCAGCGCCATAGTGGGATCGCCCCCAGAGGAGCGCGAGAAGATGACGTCATACAGGGCGGCAACAAACAGTGCAATGGATAGCACAATCACAACTATCTGCAATGTCATTTAATAATGTCAATGCCATTTAATAATAATAAAAAAATGAAATTACTCACCTGTATATAGAAGGATATGCCACGCGATATCTTGAAACCGAAACGCTCCTGTTCATCGATTTGCAGTGCAAACAGCACTGTGGCTATTATTGCCAACAAACCTGCGAAGGAACAACATTGGAGAATACTTCAGGATATATATTTAGCTATATGTACTTACCGCCCAGCAGGGCCAATATCAGTTTGACAATGACCAGCGACGTGTAGGACATGACAACCTTGTCCCGCGACGATATCATCGCGTGTTGAATCACCGAGAGTATGCAGAAGATGCCCAGCACAGCGGAGCTGGCAACTGCCAAGAGTCCGCTGACAAATACCGCATCTGGAAAAAACCATGGAATATATATATTTAATATCGATTGCTCAATGAATAAAACTAGAAGTTGGTCAAGGCATTAGAGTGAAGGCGAAGTGCATTCTTTTTCCATTTCTTTTTATTTACCCAAACTTGAGCCAGAATTGATTAAAAGTAAATTAAATATAGATTTAAGTATTTAGAATTTATTTTAAGTATCTGTCTATAAAAATGGCATTTCATGAACTAAAATTCAATAAAAAAATTGGTTATATTAATTGGTTATTATATTAATTTAATTTATTTTATTTTTTATTTAATGTATTATATTATTTAATTTTTTATTTAATATATATATAATAATTTTATATTTTTAAAATATATTTTCAATAAAAATAATATTGTTCTATACTTTTTTATATTTTATACATTGTGAAGCAACATAATTATCGGGAGAGTGCTCCAAAATTTAATTTCCAACCGAATTGTATAGATATTTGAAATAAATTAATAAAATTGCGAGCCATATATTTGATCCTATTTTTATATTTCATTATTTTAGGACGCGCGAATTGTTCTTGCCAACCATCATAAAAATTATTCTCGATGATATTTATGCCACGTTAGTAAGGTATCCTCTCAAGGAGCTCAACGTTTTGGAGCAGTGTGAATTGGCTTAAGCGCAAGAAAAGTTAGTTTCCAATTTCATGTATTTCATGAATTTTGAAAACATTCTTCGTAATTCGTAAAGGCCATCGCAAGATAGAGCTCACCCCGAACTTTATATATTTTATATTATTCAATCAAACAACAAGATAAAATATCTAGATTAAAATTTAAGTGAATATTATTAAAAGTTACCAAAAAATGATTTCGAGCGGCTTAAATAAAAGCGAAACATATAAAAGTAATACACTAATCTAATATAATTTAAATGGCTTTTAAAACATAATTTGAACTAAAATGAGCCAAAGAAACCAGAAATCGAAATACAAAAATAAGAGTAACATAAAATTTATAAATATGTTGACATATATATACTTAAATACCTAAGCATTTATATATACATAGGTGCATGGAAAACTGAATAATTCCAAACAAGAATTTAGTCACAAATGTGGAAAATTCGAAATGTTTTATATTCGAATGCTTAGACAGAGGTTTAAAGAAATTTGCTAAAAGTCTTAAAATATAGAATAAAATGAATGAAAGTATCGCAGTCCAAGTCTAACTCTTGATTGATTCTAGTTGTGTCCGGAAATAGTTAACCAATATACTTACTGCTCAGCCGGAACTTGGAGACATCGTTGCCGCACTTCTCGCGATTGTAAGTCAGTTGCTTGCACACTTTGAAGGGACCGAAATAGCCGCGATCGTAGTCATAGCCACCTGTGGAGAGGGCATTCAATAAGTAAGCCAATACCCTAACCGATAAGGGCCAGTTAGCACTCACCAGACGGACTGTCGTAGTAGCCCCAAATGGGTATGCCAATGGCGACAGAGGCCAAAGCGAAGCACACAAACCCCAAGCAGGTCACCCCAGCAACATAAAGTGTCGACGTGGCCATATTTTACTGTACAGCATAACGAATGACGATGCCTTGCTAGTGTATGCCCGCTAAAGACTGAGATCCAGGGTATCCAAGAGCCAAGAGCCAAGTGCCAGTGTCAAGTGCTGCAAAGAGAGTCAGAGCAAAACATGAGGCTTCAATAACTAAGACCATTTGCCTAAATATGTACTCGGCTTTCAGCTCGGGCAAAGTATTTCAAAAGTAAACAACAATCAAACAGTAAATAATTATATTATACAACATATATGGCGTGTCGTAGATGTATTCAGTTTCGACTGGGACCGAAACTCAATGACAATGATTCGCAGCGTTCCCCCAACTGGCTGATTATGCAGTCATTTCCCTGCCACGCCCCGCTCCGCCTGATCAAGGCTCGCTCGATGTGGGTGGCCAGGGCACAATAATCCAATATTTGGCATTGTGATTATAAAGCATGTAGCACTAAGTGGGCCCACTTGGCTCTGCCCCACATGCTCATCATAAGTCTGACAAGGCCCATAAGTCAGTTGACGAACAATTAGATCTCATTCATACATAAAGAGCTACTTGCCGCTGACCTTGAAATGCGGAAAAGCGTTCGCAGCAGCGACTCGTCGGCTCATTGTGAGATATGGAGATGCCTCGATATACACGTCCATATTGACACACGCGTGTGTGGGTGGGTGGCTTGTGCATTTGACAGATAACTGTACTTGGAATGCCGGAGAATGGCACAGTTGTCTCAACTCTCCGACAACTGTGGAGACGTGGCAAATATTTGTGCTTTTAAATAAGCCGTTTTAATAATCAATAGCAATTTCCCGTCATTAAATACCAATTAAAACAGCTGAAATTGATCTGTGTATCAATAAACGAGGCAATCAATCAAAGTTGTATCGAGTCGAAGCTGCTTATGCAGTGAAACATAAGCGTTTGCCCGCTTTAAATTGACATTCATGTGAACACATTTTGAGCGGTTCTTAATTAGGCAAGTAAGAGTGTTCTAGTCGGGCAGTACCTGACTAGGACATACCCTAAACACTGTGCAGAGCTGCTGCATAAGTCAAACAACTTGGCTTATATATACAAAATCTCATTCAATTCAAATATATCTACTAACACCAAGTGATACTAGATATATATATATACATATATACATATATATATATGTATGTATATATATAGAAGGTGTACAAGAGTGAGTATTCCAAGCTTCAAGTCTTAAGCTTTTGTAGTCAGCGAAGTTATAGAGGGTCAGACCAAAGGGCAGACAGCCCAACTTACCCAAGGTAAGCCTGATAGCCTTTATGTAGTAGGCTCTGGCTTTGGCTATTTGCACTTTAATGCAAAAGGTGCATCATATATTTGCATACTTTCATTGAGTTCAGAATGTAAAAATTTAATAAATGCTTAATTTGTTTTGTACTTAGGTAAAAGGCAAAAGTTAGAAGCGAAATCAAATCTAAGTCGTAATGCTGAGACCAAATTGTTTCACAATTTCTGATATCTTACTCTATTAAACATCTATTTAATATTCAAATATGATATGAAATTCACAAAAATATAATTTACAAATATAATAGAAGAAGTTCAACAATATTTGAGAATCATATAATAATCATAAACATAAGCAGTAAACACCAAGTCCCAACTTGGTTTATTCCTTTGCAAACGCCAACTTCTAATATAAACTTCATCGTTCATAAACATGAACCAACTTACTTATAACAGCATTATACAATGGGCTAATAAACTCTGTTACTGCCTAAACAAGGGGCGTTGAACAAAATCTTTTATTAAGTTCTCCGACTTTCAATGACATAATGAGGGAAAACTAGTGCGAAACTAAAGATGACAAAGCCGATACAACAATAGAGACAACAACAACAACAACAACAACTACTACAACAAAGCCAAGAAGCGCCAAGAAATTGTAGACTCGATTGCCAAACGAGAACGAGTGTCCGGCGTTGCGCGGCGTCGCTGTTTGTTGCTCTTAGCGGTAAATCGAGAACCAGCCACACCGTCAGACAGCCAAAGAGCCCACATCATCAGAGGCAATAAAGTGAATGCAAAAAGTCAGGCGAGCTTCTTAAATTACTAGGCGAAAGACACGCCGTTGGTTGTGCTTCTCGGTTCGGTTGGAAAGCCCCTTGTATGGTCGCCTGAGTGGAACCATCAGCCACAATAACTGTGTGTGGTGTTCTACTTAGCTCCGAGGGCACACAACAACAGGTTGTCGAATTTCGAAAGGTTCTCTCTCTGTGTCCAGCTCGAAAATGCTTGTCTATTTTGGCATAAAAACATATGACAAGTTGGTCAATGCTCAGATCAATAGATAGGAGAGCCCAGCCTGCGGCCTAGGGCTAGTTCCTCCTTGAGTGCCCGTCGAATGCAACAAATGAACTTTTACCAATTGTGTCACGACTTTCAACTTGCATAAATTTCCAAGCTCCACTGTCAGAGCCAGAGGGAGGCCGCAGCATGTCGATTGCCTCCTTCGACTTTGTCGCTTGTGTGTGGGCAACGAGGGCAGTTTAAAGCGCTGCTGGCCATTTGATATTCTATTTCTTCGCCTTCTCAGTCTCCTCTTTGTGTTAATCCGCGCGTGATTCAGAGGTGCCGTGCATACATTTATGTTTATATGATTTACACGCTGGCGCGTTGGTGTCAAGAGACCCAGCAACCAGGCGGACAGAGTCGGCAGCCGCAGCATGTAGGCAAGTAGATGCTGCTTATTGAGTAGCCAACACGTTTTTCCAGCCGTTTCGGCCAAGTAATTGTCAGCGGGCTGTCGGCTATTGCGGCTGCAACGACCACATCGTGTGGGCTGCCAATATCGTGCCACGGACAGCCGTCAATCCCCCAGCTCCATAAATTATAGCCTACATTAACACCAGGCACATCTCCAAAATTGAGCGCCAAGCATGTCGTTAGCTGTACTCCTTATCCTGATAAACCCGCTTGGCCTGAGCAAAGAAAATTAATTTCAAACACTTTTCATTGCTTTTAATACTCGTTCACAAGCTCAAAAGGGTATATTGATGATTATGAAAATATATTCATGTGGAATATAATAATATATAATATAAACTCAGGTCTGATATTGGTTGTGGAATCAGGCAAATATGAAATAGACTCGGAATAAATACTTCTCTATGCAACCCACAACTACAAATATAGAGTATATCCACATTGACGATCATTAGACCAAATCAGTTAAAGCCTATATCTTCGACTGTTGCTGACTGACTCAGACCTATAAGCCAAATGGCACGCCTTTTCCGACAAGACGAATTGGCCTCTATCGATTGTTTGTTTTATTAAGGGCGAGTATTATAAAGTCGGTTGCCCGCAACTTCAACAAAATTCTGACTTGCTTTAGAGTTCTTATCAAACAATGCTCTTGGCCATTAGCAGAAAATTAATTTACATTCAAATCAGTCAAATCAGGTCGTCCTAGTATAGTAATCGGGGCAACAACCCTAAAAGGCCGCCACTTAATCAAATGCGCCAAATCTGTTGGCCGAAAAGCGGGGCCTTGGTGCAAAGGGCGACTTGTAACTAATGAAAAGTCGCTTTTCCGCTGAAATTAGGTCAGCAAATAGAAAAACAGGCAGGTAAACAGGAAATTTACTTCAATTTGTCGGTCTGGCGCGGAATCAAATGGCAAAACGTGTCGCGGTCACCGACTCAGACTTCGACTCGGAGTCGGACTCTGTTTTATTACCCGCCGAAATGGAGCGTTGCCCCAGCCTAAGCTATTTATTGATTTTCGCCAGAATCGTGGCTTGTTCATTGTTTGGCTACAGTTGGCAACGCGACTTGGCCATTGTTAGCGCCTCCCAGATAGACAGCCCAACTGCTATTGCACTTGTTGCCATGGTGAAGTGCACAAAACTTTTTAGGCCACAACATCAAACAACAACAATAACAATAACAACAACAATAACAACAGCAATCGCCACAGCAACAGTGCACTGAAATTTACCTGAAAAACTTTGTGTCAATTGGGCTCAGTGAAAATCGTCTGCTTGCGGTTATTTGGCAAAGCACTTAAAGGTTCAAAGGGCGAGCTCTAATATGCAGCAGCTGCTTGACAAAAGCTGCTCGTAATTGAGTTACATAGCAGCGAGCTAAAGCATCGTGAGCTTAGTCTTGCAATGTTGCCAAACTTCACATTGCAAACATTCATTGCTCAAATCTTGCCTAAATTCACTTAATGTTAGTAACTTTTGCAATATGCCCGACAAATAGCAACCAATGAATAGCTAAAGCCTCATCCCTACTTAGTACAAATATTTATATCTATATATATATACAGTGTTGCCGAACTTCAGTTTTGAAATTGATAACTATTTCCCTACTTAGAGCTTCAGCTTAATATTATATTACTATTTTGTTGAGATGGGGGAGAGAGGCCACATCTCCAGGCTTCACTCGGCTGCGTTGCATTCCGCATTCAGCATTCAGAATCCATAATTAGTTATGGACAACTCCCCAAAGTTTTTATTTATATCATGTTTTCAGTTTGTGGCTATAGCTACTGGCACTCGTTGCGAAACTTCACTTAAAACGTATTCCCCTAGTTAAAGCTGACAGCGGTAGATTCCGCAGAAGACGTAGCTGTTGCCAAACTTCACTTCTCTTGGCTCCGTTGTATACAGCATTAACTAATAAATCGTCGCAGACCGCTAGCCGCGCTAACCGCTAACCGGCCGGCATCTCCACCTGTTTAGTTAGTTGGCCAGTTCGCTAGCTCTGGCCATCAGACAGCATGCAAAATTATGGCCAGAAAACACATAACGAAACGCCGCGCCAACAGCGAGTAGCCGGCATGCATTAGCTATGCATCGACATGGACACGTTCTGCTAACTCTGCTTTCGCATTCAGCAGCTAGAAGTGTAGAAGCGGAGACTGTGCAGCTCCAGCCTGAAGCCTCGTTGCACTTTCTATTTGTTAAGCCAACGAACCATATGTGGCGGCAGACAAACACATACACACACACACACACACACACACACACACACACACACACACACACACACATGCATGCACACGTCCCCAATGCATTGGCCACTTTAGCTAATGACTTTATTGAATCGACTGAACCGAGCCGGGACC